AATCAAACAGAAAATCCGTGCTTCCAGCCGGCGACGCAACAGCTCCCGCCGGCGAAGACGCATGAATCAGGCCAGAATTCAATGCATCAACAAATCTATCCTTCTCTGATTTCGAATTCTCAATCTAGCTGGTTTAGGTGAAGCTCTATAAAGATTATCATGCTCAACGACGACACTCCACTTCTGACGCTCCACGGCGGATTCGCCGGAAATTAGGGTTTGTTCTTGAACAAAGACGACGGAATTTGGGGCTGAGCAACTTGAATTTTCTGTTAATATATTTTAATGTATCACGCTGTATTTTTATGTATTTCATTGTATTCATTGTCTTTTTTTCATTGTATTTCAATATATCTCGATGTATTTCATCGTATTCACTGTCTTTTTTTTTCATTTTATTTCAATGTATCCCGCTGTATTCTATGCATTTCATTGTATTCACTGTCTCTCTATATGCCATGAATGTATTCATATGTTTTTTTTAATTAATATATTTTATGCATTCAGATGTATTATATAATTTCTCTAAAGATTGCTATGTTTTGGAGGTGTTTTTCGGTTGAGAATCTTTTTTATAACTGAAAATACAAAATTTGTGTGTTATAATTGAGTTTGTTGAGTTATATTAGGAGTCTATTATGCTAATCGATTCAGTTTCCGTTTAAAAATAGTGTAATCCCCCCTGTTTCACGTCGTGAATACAGTCGAATACAGTAATCTGTCCAGCTGTAATCTCATGTGTTCACGCCGTGAATACAGTCGAATATAAAAATTTGTCTATCTGTAATCCCCTATTTCACGCCTAGAAATGCTACTGTATTCATAAATACAGTAGCTTAAATACACCGAATACACTCTAAAAAACCTGAAAACATAGCTACAGGAAATAATATAGTAAATGATAGCTACAACTAGCTAATAACCACTAAAACATAGTGATTTCTGAAAGTTTCTCAATGAAATATATTGATGGCCCAGTATCCAACCACCAAGATGTAACAGTTTGTAGCTATCGATGGTGTATAATATACTCAAGGCCCGTTTGGCCATATATAAAAAAAATTACTTTTTTTTTTAAATATTTTTTATTCGGAATCAATATTTTGCCATAAAATTTCAAATTTACTTGAATTTAAATTTTGAAGTTTTTCAAAAATTTGAAAATTTTTAAAAAGCTGTTTTTCAAAAAATTCACTTCAAATTACTCACAAAAATTAAAAAATAGCTCCGAATTATATTCATGTCCAAACACGACTCTAATTTTAAAGTACCATTTTCACTTGAATTTTTTTTTTACTTTATTTTTTCCTCAAAATTTCACAATTTGTTTGTCCAAACGCCCACTCAGTGTAAGCAAATGTATAATAAGTGTATATATGTTGATTAAACATTGATTATGCACCGCATCTAGCCAAAATTTATAAAAAATAATGACTCGGATTTTATTTTTATTTTTAAAAGCTTTTTTGGGCTGTATCTTATTCTTACCCCATTAATTCTTCAAACTCTTCGGGAGCTTACTCAGGTATTCCAGTAAAAATAGTACGGGCTAGCCAGTTTTCGGACTGATCATTAAAAAATAGTCAGTGTTTGCAAAGTCATTGAAAAATAGACACTATTTTGCTGAAATACGAAAAGTTCTAGCATACTGGAGATTGGAGTACCTGTGTATGAACTTCCAGCATATTATGCTGGAAGTATTTATACTGGAATTCCAGTATATTATGCTGGAGTATTTTCTGGATTTTGAACAATGTTTTCGTTTAGATTTATCTTTACATGAAAAGTGGCTAAATTTTGATTACTTTTAAAACCGTGGTTATTTTTTAATGACCACTTGTAAATCTAGCTATTTTTTAATTTCTCCTGGCATTTCATGGCCAGGACAAAACCTTTTTAGCATCAAATGGCTCAGTAGGCAAAATGTTGAGTTTCCACTGCTCATAACTTTGATAAGAAACATGACTTTTATTTCTTATTCAGAAATAATTGATCTGATGATCTAGGATTTTGTGAATAAAAGCATTTCCTTGCATATGAAAAGAGTCTAGACAGTATTAATTATTCATTTGAGCTTTTGCTTAGGATTTCAAGATACTGTCTTTTTTATGTAGATCGATCAATCTCATCCTGTTCAAGTGATCATTTCGAGCCCATTACTTTAAATATTATTGGTAATGGGCCTAATATTTAACAACAACGTGAAAAAATAACATTGTATAGTTGCTCTTAAAATAATAGCGAAACATATGAATTTTTTGTATATTTTTTGTATATATATACATTTTTGTATGTTATATACGAAAAATATATAAATTTTATGACTTTTGTGGCTACCGGATGTAAACAGTTTCAGCCACGGGAGTGATCTTTGCCCTTTAACGTACCCATATCATGTAGTTTTTGTTTTTTCTCATCAAGATCAAACTTGATGTGAATTCCATGATTTACTTCATCTTGGTTATATAAATATACAGTCGGGATCGGAAGTGTGACTACATACAATTCAATTCCCAGATTCTTGAAAAAGGAATTAAGGAAACGTGATTACATAGGGATCAGGAGAGCTTGAACAATGATATTTTTTTTACAGTCTCCGAACAAGTAAAAATGAAATAAAAATCTGACAAAAATTTATGATATGCCCATAAAATGAAAAGAGAAAAAGGGAAGTCTTTGAGCAACGGTAAAGTCGTCTCCTTGTGACCTATAGGTCACGAATTCGAGCCGTGAAAGAAGCCACTAATGTTTGCATTAGGGTAGGCAACCCTTTGGGATGCAGCACTTTCCGGACCTTGCATGAACGCGAGATGACTTGTGCATCGGACTGCGTGCCTTATAAATGAAGAGAGGTATCAACATCAGAGTTTTCAAATTTACGTTTTGAACTAAAACCTGACCAAAAAGTTGGCGTCTTCGTAGCTCTGTGACTTGTTCGATTGCTATTATTCAAGCTGAGTCCAAGTGAAAGATGATCCTTTTCGGATGGAAAAATTACCAGTTGATCATGTTGTAATCCTTGCTTATGTGCAGGAATACAAATCTTGGTTGAAATATTCATCACCTGAGGTTCTGGGAACAATTTGAGTGTCTTGTCTTCTCTTTGTTCTCTTGCTTTTTCCAATTGTCTGAATCTTTCTTGTAATAATGCAATTGAAGGACCTGCAATATTATTAGCATCATTATTCGGCCTTTCCATCGATCGAAAGACTGCTTTAAACAAAATGGATATATAGGGGAAAAAAGTCTAGAGATCAAGAACAGCTTCAGAATGTGAAAACTTATGTTGATTTTGCCTATATTTGTGCATATATATAGGAGAATGGCTAAGTTTTTTTGTGTTGGTTTATTGAAATTTCAGAAATGACGTATTAAGGAGGCGAGAATCAGGCGACTAAGGAAGAAAATCCAAAAAGAAATGTTTAGAATGATTATGTTAAGATAGGCTATTTTGATGTGAGTAAAAGGCAGGAGGACTTTTTAGAAGAGGAAAATGGTGAGAAGAAATGTCCAAATATGATGTATGTAGTACTTGGAATATTGTGTTTCAAGGAATAAAGGGTTAGGTATTGTTACGTCTGTATATTTTTTTATACTATATTTTTTGTTGAGGCATTGTGTCTTTATTATTTGTCTCATGATTTTGACATCCAAATTTTTTGTTGTGCTGAGAGCGAAAATTTATCGGAAACAGTCTCTCTACTTTCACAAGGTAGAGGTAAAGTCTGCTTATATAATTAAATCTCTCTATAACAGCCTCATTTTTTCGGAAATAGGTATATTATTGTTGCTGTGTAATGGAGTTTTTGATAGCAGAGGAGGAAGCCATACACTAAAGACAAATATTGTAGTGGTTATCCTTTATGGAGTTTTTTTGGTGTGAATGAACTTTCCCTTTCTCATTTTCTTTTTTCTGATGTGGGGAGAATCCAACCAAACAGTATTAGAATTTAGAACTTCCCAGAAATAAAGAAAAACCCAAAGAAAACATGAACGTGCAGTTGAAGAACTGCCCTGTCTTTCCTTTGTGATTAGCTTGTTAAAGGAACATCACTGTATTAGTCAGAAATAGCATTCAAGAGTATGGTCTAAATGGTCAATTAAAAAAAAACAGTTCGGTGCACTAAGCTTCCATTATGTGCAGGGTTCTAGGGAAGGGCTGGACCACAAGGGTCTATTGTACGCAGCTTTACCCTGTATTTCTGCAAGAAGCTGTTTTTACGACTCGAACCCATAACCTCCTGGTCACATGACAACAACTTTACCAGTTACGCCAAGGCTTCCCTTCAAAATGGTCAATGAAATCGGATGAAAACCATTGAAAGTAGAAATTAGGTAATTTTTTTCTATCCACCTTGGTTTTCATAGGCAGAGTTATCCAATACTGGTGGAGAAGTCAGATATTTTGCTAAGGGTGTTCAGGATTTAATATATATATATACACTGTATAATTTTCCGGCGAATGGTGTTCGACTAACAACCAGCTCCGCCCCTAGTCAATACTTGTATTGGTGGGAGATAACAAAAATTCAGCAATGTACCCATATCATATGATGCTAGTATGATGCATACAGCAGTATTAAGTAAAACGAATAAATGATATGGCACTGAAAGTTGAGATGGCTCCAAATACTAAAGAATAAAATTCATAAAACGCTCATTCAGTAGCGACATTGTATATTCGTAATATAAGACAAGATTTGGCATGCATGATTTGGACCTCTTTGAGAGACGCATTCTGTTACTTATTCCACGTAGGTCAACAAAGTTGCAGAAACTTCTTCCCTTTTCTTTTTTTTTTCTTTTTCTTTTTTGGATTTCACTTTGTTTAGTTTTTTTTTTATCCATCAGAACTTTATTATGTCACACAAGTTGTATTCATCATATCATCTCAAATATTTGGCATCTGATAAGTGTTGAATAAACACATTGAATGTAACGTGACATGAGATAATACTCAAGGTGCACGCAAGCAGATCCAGACACCACCATTAGCAAAATAAAACCCAAAAAACTTTTATGTGTACATATCTTATTACCTGTAACTATGTCTAAAGCAATACAAGTACAAACAGCATCCTGCTCAACTCGAAATCATAAATACAATGACACAAAGTAGATGTTCATCAATTAACAAAGATTTCTGAAGCTAAGCAGGATCTATGTACATCAAACTGCTCTGTTATACCTCCATGTTAATTCAAAAAATGGAACTACACTCTAAAATTTACATGAATCTAGTATTAGAGAAGAAAGAAGAGAAAAAAGAATGAACCTTTGGACCGAGGTATATGTGTCAAAGAATCAATATGGCTGCTCTAGTCGATGCCTTGAGGCTTGATTCCTACTTCGCTGGACATGAAAAATGCCATAAGCAGGTGAGAATTGACAACTATCGAAATGGATCCTGCAAGAGAACACAAAGAACAAAGTTAAACCCTGATTAATTTCCATCCCAACACCAAAAGATGTCAGGTCACAGAAGAGTTGTTGATCTTCTACTTCTTATATATATATATCAAGTTTTACATCAGAGCAAAGAAGAATGAGGAGGACAGAAAGGGTCCTGGCCTAGTCCTCAAAGATACAAATAGAATGTGCAAATTGAAACACTCATTTAGATGTTCTCCATTTATCTTAAATTTTAACCTTCACATCTCTTGTTTCTATTCCTATTTCCATAAGCTTCGCTACAAGTTTTTGTATCAATCAGGTACGAACTGAGGCACCTTTAAGAAAAGTTATAGAAAGTTACCTAGTTGTATTTTTATTTTATTTTTTTGATAAGCAAAAGTTACCTAGTTGTATTAATACTTGCTTTCTTTAATCTCCATGCTAGGTTCCATTCTAATCGGAGGGAACCATATACAGAAATAGATATACAGGCAAGACTATGTACAATGGAATTTAATCGTTCCCCCAAGCCAATGGCTTACATCTCCTTCCCCTTTACATTCCCAACTACCGTAGAATCAATTTCTTCTCATCAACATTCATGTCTATGAGGAAAGCAACGCAAGAGGGGCTTTGAAGCACCAGGAGAGAAATGGAAATGAAAAACAACAAGATATACTAGAGCAAAAAACATCACAGAAGAAGAGAGGAAAGGCTTCATTATTCAGATTAAATAATTCTCATGCTTCCCTCCTTTTTTCCTCCTTTTACCGCTACGGCTCCTTTGCACTAAATTAGAGGTTCTTAATTTTGAGTTCTCAAGTCAATTCATGGATAATATAAGTAGGTTGATGATTATTCCTTCCTGTTACTACTGTAGTTGCTGTCAATACGATAGTATTGTTATTATAATGATTAATGAGTGAAACATAATCTTTCTAGGCTAATTAATAGAGAAAAGGACATAATTTTGTTAATTAAAGCTAATTTTCTTGTGGAGATCCAGAAATTATAGATAAATCAAGTTTTTATTGAAGTAAAAGTAAAACTCCCATATAAAATTGGTACAGAAAAGTAGGTATCTGGAGAAAATAAGACTTCCTATGAGGAGTACCCGATCATCTATAATAAATAGGGACCCCAAAGGTACTCCAGTTTTTCACAAAATAAGAGAAGTGACCTCTGATTCCTTTCTCTCCAAATGTCATGAGTGTTAATAAGCAACTTCCTAAGCTCTTTTCATTCTCTTCTTTCTAGTTGCCCAACTAATAAACAAACCTTTCAGTTGCTTACATTACCAGTTCAATACCAAACAGGCTCCAAATTGTGGAGTCGAAGCCCTTTCCTTCTCTTCCTTTATTTTGGATGACGGTGGTATCGGAGCTAGTTTGCACATACCTCGACTATTCCAAAGGGTACCTACCACCTCCTACTAGCATAAGTACCGGGTAACTCAGTCGTTCCATCTTCCTTCTAACTGCTCAACTTAAAAAAAAGGCTTTAACAGTTGCCAATATTTAATATTACCTATTTTGTATCAAACAGGTTCCGAATTGTATCGACAGCTGTAGAAACTGTCAGTGCAACAATAAGTGGATTAAATCTTTCTCTTACCTCATACACATATAACACCAACTGATGAATGATCTTTCTCTTCCCCAGATTTTCTGTAGCAAAGATGCCCCCCCTAGCTGCCAACCAAACAAAGACTTAAAGTTTTATTTGCACTCTTAGGGGTCGTTTGGTACAATGGTAGAATATCCCATGGGGTGGGATATCCCATGGAATTAGTTATCCTGCCTTCTACGTGGGATAACTAATCCCACCATTTTAGTGTAAAAGTTATCCCGGGATTAGTTAATACCCCGAACCAAATATGAGATAAAGTTAATCCCATATTTTATCCTGGGATTATTATTCTTATCCCATGTACCAAACGACCCCTTAGTGCTATACTGAAGACTACAGAAAGTGCCTGTTCCGCCCTTCTCAGTAATCTGTGAGAGAGGGACTTTTACTGTGAAAATCCTTTGCTCTGTCCTTCTCACTTCCAGGATTTCTGACTCAGTGAAATTTTCTCCTTGCATAGTAGCTCAAGTAGTGGAGTAAATTTACCTGTGGTTCAACACATCATTAAATGTATATTAACAGGAAAAAGATCAATGTTGATCTAGCAATCCCTATCATCTAAGGTTGTCCACTCAATCAAATGTCCAAAATGAACTCTTCAGACTTCAATCTAGCGAAGATACACCACAGCTTAGACTTCCTCACAGCCCCAAATCGATAAATGGGAATCGCGATTCTCTGAAAAAGCATCTCAGTTGAGACACTCTCCAGGGATGATAATCATGTGGATTAGGGTTCACATGACATACACAAGAAAAACTTGGTATCTTTGAAGATTCTCATACCGCAACAGAAAGTTAAATTCAGGTGTTTGCGACTACATTTTGAAGGAGCTTTATGGAGCTGTCTAGTATATACGTAGTTATCACATTTCAGCTGTGACTTCAAGAATTGCAGCCTATCTCATCGGGGTTTAAAATACTTGCAACTAAACATTCGAGAGCGTTCAACTTCTACGTAATCTGCAGTGAAATTGATTTGATACTGAACAAGAAAGCCTTATACTGCTCCATTTCCCAAAAAAAAAAAAACCTTGTACTGCTTGACACATTTGTTCTTTTATATCTTACCTTATCAAAAGAAAAAAATACTACTCGACACATTTTTCTCCACTACCTCCAGAAGTCACTAGGGGCATAGATTTCTGAGATTTAACATTCGATCTAGAAACGAGAATAATCACAGAAACTGAAACTTCCTTCCTCATAAAATATTGCCGCGTTCCTTCTAAATGATTAGTTCGATACTAAACAGGCTGATTCTTGGAATAAAAGGGAATGAGGTCTTTTGAGATTCACTGCTACTGATAAAGTTCACAGCGAAAGTATGAGACACATCAAATATAAAGGGTTTTAAAAAACAAGGGAGAAGTAGTTCCATAATTGAAAACTTACAAAAAAATAAATTCCCTGGACCTTAACATAGCTATTATAACTGATTATTATGCTGTAACTGGCATATAAATGCTGTATAATCACAGATGGCAAGAAAGTGTATATTAATCTAGATACTTAAAAATGTCAACAATTAATGATTTTAAAAAAAAAAGGAACCAATAGAATGTACTGCTTCAACTAATCCCCCAAAAGCCACTGTGTTTATTTTAATTTTACTATAGTAAGCAAGCTTAGGCAAGAGAAAACGAAGTTTTAAAAGGCAATCTCACGCACCTTCTGCATTTGACCTGCAAAGGTCAGCTCCTTCAACATGAAGCTCAGCCAAAACTCAGCTTACTTGCATTTGCCGAGCAGCTTCTGAAACAGAAGATTTTTTTCTGCTTAGCTTCCTCTTCAAACGAGCTTCAGAGAAAGTAGTTGAAGCAACCATACATGAGAGGCTATTATTATATGAAAAATAAACTCACTTATTTCTGATTTGTGGAGCTGCAGATCAGTTGCACCTCAAAAAATTCATTTGACTTGCATCATTTAACCATCTAGTTTGGACAATTCTCTTGCCAAGATAACATATGTCTGGAAACTAATAGTGCAGCTCTTGGATTCCATGACATGAAGAAGCTTCATGCACAATTCAGATTCTCTCTCCTTGAGTAAACCATCAATCAGGATGGTCCAAACAATCTCATCACTGTTCCACTGTTTCCCAAGCATGTTTTCAAATAACACTTCAACTTCTTTTAGTCGGCTTTTTCTACAGAGAGCACAAATGAGTGATTGATAAATTGACAAAGGAGGCCGAAAACCTTGTAGAATCAATGAATCAAATATTTCCATAGCGGCGTCCATTTTCAGATTCTTGCAGTAAGAAACTATAAGAGAGCAATTTACTGCACTAGTAGGACTGAAGCCTTTCTCTCTCATATGTTTTATCAACTGGTCTGCCTCAGCAGTTTTTCCTTCTCTAGAAAGGCCAAGAACTAAAGTACAGTATGTGCCTGTATTTGGCTCACAACCAATTTCAGACATTCTATCTAAGAGAGTACATAACAGTTCAAAACTAACATCCTTCTTGCTACCTGTGCTACTATACACTGTTTCATGCTGGATTGCGACCTCCCCTGAAATCAACTGACACTCCTGTTGCAATCCTTTCAACAAGACACCATAGGTTCTATAATTTGGTTCACAACCCTTATCAACCATCTGGCGAAGAAGTAAAAACGCATGATCTAGTCTACTCAATGCTACAAAACCATCAATTAGTGAAGTATATGTCACATAATCAGGAGTTAACCCTTTTTTCTCCATTTCTCTGAGTAAGCTCTCTGCACTATCAGCCTGGCCTTCATGACATAAACCGTAGATAAGCGAACTGTATGTATACAGGTTCGGTGTGCAATTTCTTCTCTGCATATCATGGAAAATTTTAAATGCAAGATGAGTCCCACCATTCCTACAAAGCCCATCAATCAAAGTTGAGTAGGTGATGACATTTGGGAGCAGTCCACTTTCTGCAATCTTATTGCAAAGTCTCTCTGCTTCCAAGAGCCTATTTTGTTTGGACAAACCATTTATAATAGCATTGTATGTTTCAATGCCCGGACTGCAACCACTCTCCTCCATCCTTTTAAGTAATGCGAGTGCATCGTCCACTTTCCCTTCCTTGGAGAGACCATCGATTAAAGCTGTATAATTGACCTGGTTTGGACTTAAACCATGCTTTATCATTTCCTGGAAGAGAGCTGAAGCCGAGTCAAGCTTGCCCCTCTTGCAGAAACCAGAAACAAGTTCTGCATAAGTCCATTCATCAGGTTTACATCCATTGTTCTTCATCAAATCCAGCAGTCTCACAGCATTGTCGAGAAAGCCCCGTTGAAGGTAGCCATTAATGAGGGTATTATAAGTAATCACTGTAGGAGCCGGACCCACCTTTAGCATTTCAGTGAGTAGAACCATTGCCCTTTCAATATCCCCAATCAAGCATAATCCATGGATAAGTGCATTGCAAGTTATAGTGTTAGGTACGTATCCATGTGCTTCCATCCAACGAAAAATTCTAAAAGCATTGCCAACTTTTCTTGCTCCACATAACTCATTTATCAATACATTGAAAGTAATCATAGTTGGGAGCAAGCCTTTTCTCAACATGTTGTGGTACAATCCAATCGCTACTTCAAGGTGGCCAGACTGAGACAGCCCGCTAATTAGAGCTGTATATGTCTGGACATTCGGTTCACACCCCCTCTTTCTCATGCTCACAACAAGATCAACAGCCTCCTTCTCCCGTCCGACTGCACACAAGGAACTAACTGGAACTGTGTATGTATACACAGTGGGTTCAATGCCTTTCACAATCATCTCCTCAAGCATTCCCAAAGCCTCATCGACTCTTCCCTCCGTGCAGAGTCCATTTATAAGAGTGGTATAAGTTGCTGCATTCGGATCTATTCCGTCCTGAACCATCCTATCAAACACCATAAATGCTGCATCCAAATCCTTGTTCCTACAATGCCCAAGAACCAAAGATGTATATGTAAATACATCAGGACTCAGCTCACGCTGATAAATATGACTCATTATCAACATGGCCTCCTGAACTCTCCCTTTCTTGCACAATATATTTATCATAGTGTTAAAAGTCAATAAACTTGGCTCGATTCCATTACTCATGATTTCTTGATAAGCACTCTTAGCTTCCTCAACCAAGCCAAACTTACCCAACTGAATCAACAAAGTATTAAAGCTATACAAACTGAACCCAAGACCTTTTCTGCTAAGTTCACTTAAATACTCAATAACCCATTTCATTTCCTCCTCATTCCTACAAAATTTGATCATTAAAATCCTCACATGATCAGCAGGAGCAAATTTCTTATCAAAAACAAGCCTATTTAACATCGAAACATAACAACTCATATTGTGTTTGTAAAATGCCTCTTAGAAACCCAATAAAAAAACTGCAAAACTACCTCAGTATTTTCATGGATCTCAACGAGTTTTGCCACGTGGCGGGGTCTTAATTTGGAGCTCAAGGATTCAAGCTCTCTGCTTGTCTTCCATTGCATTCGCGGATTAGACAAAATTTCAGAAACCTTTGAAATAATGAAAGAGAATTTCTTTTTCTCTCCTGTATGTAAGGAATCAAATTGTTCACTAATTTCGGGTATTGAAGAAAATTGAAGACGGCCCAGATGAGAAAAACGCCTGGGTTTAAGGGTCTTTAACATTTCGAGCGGTGAAACTGAGGATGATAACAGTGAGAAGAGTTCATTAAGATATTGTGGGATGAGTTAGAAAATGGAGGAGTGTTGTTGTTGGGTTGAGTCATAGGTGAACGTGGTCATGAGGAGACCACAACAGAGATGGTGAAAGAGGAGAGAATAAAGGGGGGCTGCGTAGGCTAATGGCATCAAATTTGAATAGCCAAACGGGCCCCAAATGCTTGCTCCCTCTCTAAAAAGATTTTTAGGGTTATTCTTGGCTTTCAAAAATCTGTCCAATTTTGTCTTTCAAACTTGAATTCCATACCTCTTTATTAAAAATTATACGGACATTATTAAAGAATACTATTAATCATCTTAAATTATAATTTAATTTATCGAGCAAATAAGAGATACCATTGCTTTAATAAAAAAATATTAATCATGTCAAATTGTGATATAACTTGTTTGAGCAAATTAGAGATATTATTGCTCTAATTCGACTAATATCTTGTTTATTAATGCAATATAGGCTACAACATAATCTATATAACACTACAGGAAGCAATTCAAATAGTCACTGAATAATTTCTATTCTTTATTTTTCTTTACTAAATTATCTTCTAATAAAGCATCAATCTTCACGAATTAGGTACTAGTGCTCCTATTTCATCTTATTTTTGTGTCCATATTTGCTTTTGAGCTTGAATTTGATTGTTATAAGAAGGCAGGAGGCGAAATTAACAGTCATAGCGACTAAGACTGCAGCATTTGAACGATTATATGAGGATTTTGGGGACAAAGGAGGTGACAGGAAAATGTACAAGTTAGCCAAGATTAAGGAGAGGAAGGCTCGGGACCTGAGCCAAGTAAGGTGTATCAAAGACGAAGATGGTAAGGTAATGGTGGAAGAAGCATGTATCAGGTGTAGATGGCAGAAGTACTTCCATAAACTCTTAAAAATGAATGAGACAGGAACATCGTGCTGGGTGAGTTGGAGAACTCAAAGAGTCAGAGAGAGTTTGGATTTTGTAGGCGTATTAAGAGCGAGGAGTTTGAGGGTGCAATACCGAAGATGAGCAAGGGTAAGGCGATTGTGTCTGACGAGATTACAGTGGAATTTTGAAAGAAAGCGGATCGGGCAGGCTTGGAGTGGCTTACTAGTTTGCTTAATTTCATTTTCAGGATGAAAAAAATGCCTGAAGATTGGCAGTAGAGTTTCATGAGTATGAAAGTTTGGGAGAGAGTGGTGGTGAGGAGGGTAAGGAGAAGTATATCTATTTCTGAGAATCAGTGCAGATTTATATCGGGATGGTCAACTATAGAAGTCATTCACCTTGTATGGAGATTGGTGGAGTAGTATATGGAGAGGAAAAAGGACTTGCGTGTTCATTCACCTAAAGAAAACATTTGATAAAATCCCGATTGAGGTCTTATGGAGATGTTTGGAGGTTAACGATGTCCCGATAACATACATTAAGGTGATTAAGGACATGTACGAGGGAGCTAAGACTCGGGTGAGGATTGCGAGAGGAAACTCGAAATATTTTTCAATAGAGATGGGGTTGCATCGGATTGACTCTTATCCCATCTTTATTTGCCTTAGCATTGGATGTGCTGGTTATACAAGGAGAGGTGCCATAGTGTATGCTATTTGCTGATAATATAGTACTGATTGACAAGACGCGAGACGGAGTTAACGCTAGGTTAGAAGTTTGGAGACACACGCTGAAATAAGTTGAGTTAGTCGAAAATAGAGTACTTGGAGTGCAAGTTCAGTGATGGAATACATGAAGCAGAAGTGAAGTGAAGATTGATATTCAATTCCTCCCCCAAAGAGATAGTTTCATGTATCTTGGGTCTATAATCCAAGACAACGGGAAGATTGATAAGGATGTTACTCATTGTATTAGAACGAGGTGGATGAAATAGAGTCTCGTTTTGAGGGTTTTGTATGATAAGAATATGATATCTAGACTTAAGGGCAAGTTCTACAGAGTGGTGGTTAGACCAATTATGTTATATGGGACTGAGTGTTGGCTCGTCAAGGAGTCTCATGTCCAGAAGATGAAAGTAGCTGAAATGAGAATGTTGAGATGGATGTGTGGACATACTAGGAAACACAAGATTAGGAATGAAATTATTAGGGACAAGGTGGGAGTGGTCTCTGTGGAAGACAAGTTGCGGAAATCAAGGCTGAGATTGTTCGAACATGTGAAAAGAAGAGACATAGATGCACCAGTTAGGAGGTGTAAGAGGTTGGTCATGGTGGGTCTTAGGAATGATAGGGATATGCCAAATAAGTATTGAGGATAAGTGATTAGGAAGGACATGTCATTGCTTCAGCTTACCGAGGACATGACCTAGAGTAGGAAAGTGTGGAGGTCAAGGATTAAAGTTGAATATTGACCGGTAGTCGTGAGTTAGGAGTAGGCTTACTAGTAGTACTAGTACTATTCTTGTATTTTCTTATTCTTGGTTCTTTATTATTACATATTGTGTCATTCACTTCTGTTATCCTATTATATGTTGTTATTATCATTTGTTGCTTTATTTTCATTGTTCCTTGGGTCGAGGGTCTATCGGAAATAATCTCTCTACCTTTATAAGGTTGGGGTAAGGTCTACGTACACACTACCTTTTCCAGACCCCACTTATGAGATTATATTGGGTTTGTTATTATTATTGTTGTTGTTATTGAGCTTGAATTTAAGACCTCTCGATATTTATCATGCGATCAAAATTAAAAGATACACAATTTAAGGTGTACATCATGTTAGTTGAAAGAAGATATTATTAAAGTAAATGATATATAATTTGAATAACTAGATGAATTTGAATCATCAAATATTGTACAAGCTAGATAATATTGTTACTAGAATAATATCAACCTTTTTATAATATTCTAATTGAAAATAGTATTATATAAAGTGGGACAATAAATTTTTTAACATATAAATTAAATTAGCAGGTAATGTTTAAGATTTAACTCAATCGACATTTGTTTGGGTTGTGAAATTTTTGGAATCCACTCTAACCCTGTTATAGCAGAAAAAGAAATTAAAAGCCTTTAATTCAAAGTTGAAGTCGCTTCAAATTATATGATACAGTTAGAGTTTCTGGTCAAAAGCATCCTTTAGTGATCACATAAACGGGGCAAAATGAAAAGGAGAAGAAAGATAGGCTAGAAAGAAAAGGATTAAAAGAAACAAGAGAAGTTAAATGTAAGAAAAATTAGAGGGGTGTAAATGGATCGATTTACAAGTTGTTTTTACATCAAAATTAATTACAGATGATTATTTCTTATAATTTTGCTTGATCATTGACATTTTTTTATGATAACTGATGAGTGCTTAAAAGCATATTTGATACGAAGAAGTAAAAAGTCTTGCGATATAGGAAGAAATAGTACAAAGGAACAATATATAATAATATACTCAGTGTAATCACACAAGTAAAGTCTAAAGAAGGTAGAACATATACAAATATTATCCTTACCTCGTGAAAAGAACAATATAATAGAATTTATTTTGATGTACTATACTGGCGCGCGTCTAAAAAATAAAAAAGAAAAGTTTAGTTCAATACTTTGATTTTAAGTTGTTTTAGGTAACTTTTGGCTTGGCAAACAAGGTTTTAAGCAAATTAAAGAACAATAACCAATCCAGTCAAAATAACAAAACTCAACACTGAAGTGATTGGTTATGATATTTGCCTTAATTGGTTTGAAAAAATATACTCTAATTGAGATAGAATCGCAAGTAATTAGGAAACTCTAGTGATTAACCAAGGAACCATGATTAACAAAGTGCCACATGAGATTTAATTGGATAAGTGCTATTTAGTCACAATGGTAATAGGAAAATTAACATTCTAGGTCTTTAATAACATAGATTCCAAACCTTTTGCTCTAGATCATTAATTATTTAATAAAATTTGCATTCACTTTAAAGCTTGAAATCGGTTCACGGTTATAACATCACTTATTTGGAAGAGCCTAATTTATCGAAGTTAACCAAAATTTCGCTATCTACATAGTTAGTTCTATATGTAATCAATTTCAAATTCTATAACTGGATTATATTAATAGCAAGCCACTTAACCTTTTAAAGATGATTGAACTTTGTGTGTACCCTTAAAAATGAATAACAATTGAATTTATATGCAGTTTTAAGGATATATGGATTAATTTAATACAAGTGATCAATAACGTTAGATAAGCGAATTAAAGATAAAATAAATAACCAAACAAGTTGTGATATTGACTCCGGGCTCGGGCCTAAGCTTAACAATTATTCTGCCCTCGATTCGGAACCAAATTATATGTGAAGATCTATGAGCAAAATAAGAACTTTTGAATAACTTAGAAGCAGAGAAAACAAGTTTATATTGCCTTGATATACGTGTTACCGTGCTCTCATTGAATAAAAGTCACCCCTTTATATAGTAGGAGGGTTTCATCCCTCATACAATTCTAAGAAAGGTAAAAATCTTCTTTTTCGTTAATCACTGATCTGCTGCCGATACGGGCCGATATCCACTCCGTGATATCCGGTTGGACACGGATATCGTGGTCCTTCATTAGTCATGTGCAACCGTTTGATAATCCTTTCCGAGGTCTTGGAGATCGAACCGGATCCGGAGAGTGTTGTCTCGATGGCTTCGGTGGTAAGCGCTTCGTTCGGGCCTTAGTACGAGAGGTTACTAGCTTCGATTCCAATTCCATATAATTATGTGCTTGCTTCGTTTGCCCCACCGGGAAATCGGGGTGCTCATTTGCCCCGATTTTACCCATATACAGATAGTCCCCTCGTTTCTCAGATATTAGGTTTTCCAAAACGATGAGAAACGGTAGGTGTTCCCAGGTTCCTTCCTTCATACGTTACAACTGAGATGACGAAAATTTGAAACGTCCCATCAGTTGTGTCGTTTTGACTTCGGACACATGTCAACCATGGGCTGGTTGCCTTCGAATGTGAAGCGTCACGTACTTTTCCTATAAAAACTTCTATCCTTTGTTCTTTTACCAAAGCTTCCACCTTCAAATTTTCTAGCTATTATCAACTCTTTCAAACCTTCATATCTTCATCTTTGATCTTCAATTCTTCATAATTATTCTCAGGTTCTTACCCAAATCTTCATCCTACCTTCAAGTTTTCATAATTTTTTCTTCAGCCTTCGAACTTGTTCCTTCAAACCTTCATACTTTTTCTTTAAATCTTCAATCTTTCT